CTAGACTTGAATAGATCAAGCTTATAGTGATTAGGAAATCTTCCTTTCGACAATCTTTTCGACAACGCGGTAGTTCTTGGAAAAAAATCTTCTTACTGTTGGGAAATGGGATAATTCTCCCTTTTGTACGCGAAAGAGCGGGTCCCAGTTTGTAACGAACAGAGGTAGTGGACCTAAGAAATTTAACTCGTCAGAACACATGCCATGGAAACAGCGATAGAATAGCGAGGGACTAACGAAGTTTCGTTCATAGAGAAGACATTGTAGGAACGAGAATATTTCGTCTAGCACAAAACTGCTTAGACGCTTTTGAACTCTATCAAGACGTGCTGGTGTGGACAGGGTACCGCGAGCCTAGATGTGGCAGCAATATTCCATTTTTGGTCTGATTGAAAAGATCATGTATAGCAGCAGTTTGGGGGTATATACTAACTAACTCCAATGAACCAGCTATTTTTTTCCCGAATCTTTAGCAATAGATTGGACATATGAGTTACAGTTAAGGTTGGTGAAGATCTTGACTCCGGATAGATGTTCAAGACGAGGGACATTTTTGAGAGAAGTGCCAATCATTATAGGTGAATGTTCAAGGTCTGATAGAACGTGGTATGTGTAGTGTACAAAAGTTTCCAGCTAAAAATAAAGCGATTTTTAAATGTTTATTCAACATTTATTTTTCTTCTATGTACCGTGTCTCTACGAGATGAAGGTGGTCATGGCCCTCCACAACTTCCTATTCTTTGTAGATCTTAGTATTTTTTTTTCACAATCCTACATATTTTTGAATATATTTACATAAGCTCGTTCACCACTACTTCTGTCAATCTTGACTTTAATATTTCCGGTGTGTGTCAAATCTTCCAAACACTCATTCATCATTGTGTCCTAGAAATTTCAAATGTCTGTTCCTGATTATTTTTGTATCCATTTTCCTTGGATTTTCCTTGCTATTTATATTTTCAGTCCATGGTATTCTCATTGTCCTTCTGTTAAACTACATTTCTGTTCCTTTAAGTTTCTTCTTCATCTGTTAGAAGATTATCCATCATTCACAGAATATAGAAGGTTTGCTTTGCTTTGCTTTACGGCATATCAACTTCAATAGGTTATTTCATATTGACAAGATTTTTATTGCTGGTAATATTTTTTCAAAAAAATTACTGGCAATATTTTCTTATTTTCAAAAATTTATTATGGTGAAAAATTTTCCAAAAAATATTGCTGGTATTTAAACCTATTTTTATACATTCATAGTGTTTTGACCCCTTTTGCGGGATGGGTTATAACTTTGCCCATAGCATACACCCTGACAGGTACTACCACCCCGGGTCAGAATGGATCTGAGAACACCAGCAATTAAGCTCCTCAAAACATTATGATCAGAGGCCTTACTGTCGGATTATCATCTTCCCGAGGACGCGGATTTAATTTATCGTAATACCCAGGATGTGAACATAGGAGGACTGATATTACATAAAAGTTCAACACTTTTTCTGTTTCTAACAAAACTGATCTGATTTCTGATATTTGCTCAACTTTTAAAAAAATACGCTGATTACATCTTAACACGTCTAATATCTGTAGCTTGTACTTCCCCCCATGTCATGCAGAATATGTTTTGCACTTAGAGGCCTTGAAAAGTCAGTTGCAGGGTCGACGTCAAATGTCCTCGAGGTCATGGATGGAAATTAGCGATTCCCGCGAAGTGAGTGGCGACCACGACAGGCGAATATTGTCGGCTCAGATACGCCAGAGATGCAAGCGTAAGAAAGAAGCCGTATTACAGACCTGACCCGAGAAACAGTAAGGGGAGTCTCATTTACATAGCACATGAGAATGTAAGGTCCACGTTCGAATGAGGAAGACGGTACCGACACACACACACACACACACACACACACCCTGACGGTATTAAATGACAACATCCGCTGTTGAATATAATGTGATGTTACCTCTGAGAGATTTGTGTTTATATTACTCGGTACAAGATAATTACAATGAAATACATTTCAGATAAGGTAGTAAAAACTAACTATTAACAGGGAAAGAAAGAATCCACTGTTGTTATCAAATGGATCATCCTAATATGTGAGTTATATTTTGGGGATGTCAAAGACAATAACGTTCAGAAATTTAACAGTATTGCCGAAACAGACGACGTGAAATTCCGAGGGAGCATTGGAATAGTGAAAACTGAAGGCTCGCTGAATTGGTTAAAAAAAAAATAATAAGAGTTGTCTGTTAGAATTAATCAGTGTATTAAAATAGAGTAAAATATCGCTAAAAAGAAATGAAACTGCGCCGAAGTGCTTCGTGATATTTAATCCCCTGTATTCGTATGAATACTGGGCAATTTCTTCACAGCCGAAGAAAAGACTTGAACCAATAGAGCTGTGATTTTTACCGATAATTGCTTGTTGTGTATGATACACCTAATTTACATAAGTGGAGTACCGACCATATAAATATGGGTTGGTACCGGAAGACGACGGAAGATTAAGAGATCGAATCCAGAGACTCTGCCCGACTGCGACTTAGTCAACCCATTCTGCAGGAACAGTCTTCCCAAGAATATACCAAAACTACCTGTAAATATTGTGTACCTTTTTTCATTGTTTCAATACATTTTGTTACGTACATTTTGTGTTGTATTATTATTATTCCATGCTTATTCAAGCTTCAACATTGCTAGAAAAACTGCAGTAGGAATGCATGAGCAAAACATTCAAAACATACGGAATATTGGAACTACACGGGAACCGATAGTTACTATCAAAAAGGGAAGTTGAATAATGAGGAAAGAAGGTCTACAGACACACACAGCAAAAGTTACAGTCTACAGAATCCAGGAAGAACAGCGAATAGGTAATCGACATTGTGTGAATGGATATCCATATAGGTAGATGGTTATGGGTAAGAAAAATCTTAGAGCAACCAAAATAGGAAGTAATGGAGAGCCATGAACTTCCAAGTCAAGAAAGGGCATGGAATATAAAGAAACTAACTCGAATTCGCATTCTGCGATGCCTTTTTTCTAAAGACCTTTAAAATTTTATGAATATGAATATATATATATATATATATATATATATATATATATTTAAAATATATTTTATTAGGTACAAAATTTAATGATCGAAATAAAAGTGTAAACTTTAATATTACAAGACATATTAAAACAATATTAAATAATAAAAAAAGAAACTAACAACAAGGGGAGGAGGGAAGCAACCGGTTTCGCTCCCGCTCATCAAAACTTCCACGGAGATTGAAAATTAAAACAGAGAAAGGTACAATCAGAATAGGTGGAAAAAATGCATATATGTACATATATATACCTGTATATAGTTTTTTTTTATTTAATATTGTTTTAATATGTCTTGTAATATTAAATTTTACACTTTTATTTCTGGATCATATATATATATATATATATATATATATATATTATCATATATATTATCAATATATATATATATATATATATATATATATATATATATTATAAATTAATTGATAATTAATTTATAATATTATGCTCTGTAAATTTACATTGAGCACTATTTTGTAAAAATAAAATATCTATAAGAACACCGCATTATATATCTTACTGTTTCTTCTTTTATATATATATATATATATATATATATATATATATATATATATATATATATATATATATATATGAAATGCTTAAAACCAACTACGGCCTTCCTAATTCTCGGCTATTTTGAACATTACAGCATAAAGTCTCAATTTTGCAGTGGAAATCGCTAGATGTAAGTTGTATGCTAGCAATTTCTTCACTTGCACTTCTGTCATGTGGAACTCTCTTCCGGCTACTTGTTTTCAAGTCAACTTGATTTTGAAAACTTTACATGCAATGTCTGCTGTTATTTTCTGTCTTCTTAATTCTTGGCCTTTTGTTGTTCTCTCCCCTTCAAAATATTTGTCTCATATTCTTCTATACGCAGTAATCTGTTGTGTCTTAGTGGTTTTATTGCCCTGCTTGGGTGAAATGATTGAAAGAAGAATTTACTCGCCTCATTGCTTGCCGATCTATTGTGTCTTATTTTTACATACACTCATAACAACACGTGTATTAATATTATAGCGGATCTTTTTTTAGTTAAGTAATTAGTAGATAAGTATTGTCAATTATTTTCAACGAACAGTAACCAAAATTACGATTGAAGAACTCCTAGCCGAATTTAATAATGGCTCAGAATGCTTTTATCAAAAATTCAAGACAACATTGTCACCAATGTTTCTGAGAATCTGGCATCCTAAAACTATTAGGAAATGGATTTATTTATTTTTTTTTTTTTTTTTTTATGGAATTAGAAGTAATTCTTTATCTGATGCCGTCTTGGCTATGACGATAAACGACATCCCCGCCCTAGGTAAGACAATAACTGTAAGGCCTCTGATCATGAGGTTTTTAGAAGCATGGAAGCACCTCTTAATTGCTAGCGTTCCCAGGCCTACCCTGATCCGGGCTGGTAGCAGATGTTAGAGTCCCAGCTATGGGTAAATAGTTAACCCCCGCAAACTGGGGTCAAAACACTATGAAAGTGTAAAAATAGGTCTTAATATCAGAAATAATTTGTAAAAAAGTTATTACCAGCAAAACATTTTTGAAAAAGAATACTAAATATACATTTTTTTTAAAAATTACCAGCAATATATTTTTGAAGAAAAAAATACCGGCGATAAAAATCTTGTCGTCATTAAAAAAAAGAGACATTGAGTTTGATACGCTGTAAAACAAAACAAACCAAACCAAAACATTGTTGCGTTATGAAAGAAGTTATGTATTTGCAATGAGATTTTTCATTTTTGTAAAATACATATGATCACGTTCAAATGTAACAAGCGTTAAATGTAGTCTTCCAACAGTAATTAAATTTTATTTTTGTCGTAATATTTTATATTTTAATGAAATAATATGTGATTCTAGATGGAAAATATACTCATAGCAGTACGTTTATCTCTTTATG